GAGCTTTCTTTTCGCGGGCATCCAAGAGGTACTGGGGTCGCAGGAGGGAGCCGATGTGGTCGGCATGTGCCTGGCCGTCTGATGACATGGCGATCGAGTTTAGCTGTAGTGATGGTATTAGACTTTAAGGTAATTCTATTCTAGATCTAAGGGCAGAAATTTTGATAAAGAAAAAAAAAAGACAACTCTCAAATCCCAGGTTTTCAGATTAAATGCAGCGGATTGTGAAAATTGCCAGTATTTATATTTCACGCTAAATCTTCTGCCCCGCAGATTTCAGATCCCAGAAATCCATATTGTCGACCCCGCAAAGTAAGAAGAAGAAGAAAAAATCCTTTCCGAGGTCCGGAGGAAAACTGTCAAGCATGCAAGCCTTCCCCTTTACCCGCTTGGTTTGAAACTAGATAGTATACATGCGTAGGTATTCATGATCCGTTGACAAGACGTCAGAACCCGACGGAAATGGAGGTGTTGTCTACGGGAAAATGCAACAGCCGCGCCGAGTGCCAATCTCGACGTCAGAACAAACCAGATCAATTACGAGGTGAATCAGATAACTTCGAATTACAATATCGATATCGATATTTCGATTCTGAGGTCCTGAAGTACCTCCAATTTTTCCAGGTTCGTTGGATTTTCCCAGCTGTACTTTTTTCTAAGTTTGGCGCAGTATGAGGTCTCGATCCGAAGCCATGATATCATCCCACCGCCAGCGCCAAAACTAGGATTCGGCTGAAATCGCCGGCAAACATGGAGTAGCTACTGTGATTAACTTTTTGAAGGAACTAGGAGAACTACAGCAGTATCTCATAGATATCCCTAAGGTACTCCCGCTCCTGATGATTAAACATTAGGCCGTCTGCTTTTTACGACCATATTCTCCAAGCTCCCTAGCCATGATTTTTCGTTGTTCAACAAGATAGTTCCTGGACAACCTTGTGTCGATGTCAGGGTATCCTAAATCTATAGATTCTAGGTTCGGCATGAAGCACAGAAGCAAGGGAATCAGGCTGCCACAGTCCACACCCCAATATACACCTCGAAGCCCTTGAACCCTCAAGACACCACCTGCGAACGCGCTGATTTTGTCTTTCTCTTCCGAGGTCCAACTCCACTGTAATAACTTGGTTCCCGAATACGTCTGGACATACTGCGGACGGCCCCAAGCCACCGTTATCGACCTGAAGCGTTCACCGATTTTTGGATTAAGCAGGAGGCAGCGAACGAGGCGCCATGATTGTTGGGAGGAATGCCCGATGCGGAGGGTGTAGTTGCGCCTGGTGTAGCGTTGCACGATATCACAAAATAGTTTGCAAACTTGCTCGCAGCGACCCAGGTCAGCGGGGGTGAGAGTCTCGTTGGTGAGGATTTCAGCGAGGATTTCGGTTGGGAATTCGTTGATGTTATGTATCGTCGCCATAGTCTGGCAGTCAACCTCGTCGATAGGCACCTGATTTAAGGATGATGAAAACGTTTGAATGTTAAAAGATTCGAACGCGAAATAGATTCTGACAATTTAGAGCAGCCTTATTGTCGGTGTGAATACGCGGCGACGGTCCGCACCCGTTCACGTGTCCACAGGGGTTTCGGCGAGTCCACGTTTGTTGTGTTACACCGAATGCAGCGACGAATCAGGTTTGAACATCGTATGCAAAGTTCCGGAAATTCCGAGTTAGGCGCATGCCGTGTAGCTTGAATTAATTCATGAATCTAAGTGAAGTACTAGCATGTAGTACCGATTTTTCAAAAGCCCGAAATACCGCTCAAGGCCAGATTTTGTTGAGTCCAGCGAATTTAAAAACTACCTCGATATGCGTATCGATTCGATATCCAGCGATGCAAGATCAAAGTTGCAAATTCACCTAAGGAATGGGTATGTTGGTATCTGCGGGGCTAAAAATCACTTACGCAGTCACAGTCTTTGCCCTTGGAATTCTCTCACATTTAGACCTGCATAAGTACATGTATGCAACTTTAACCAGAAAGTCTAAGAGGCCAGTCAACGAATTTTCAGAAGTCTTCGTGTCGCTTCGTGTAATATGATATAAAAAGTGTGTGTTACAGAATTCAAATATAATATTACTGCTTTACCGCACAGTCTATCGATCTGATATTCACCGACCCGGCTAGTCTGATGTCAATCGCTCTGTTGTTCGCCGGATTTATTAATGTATTAATATTCCCAGCCTCCTTCTTAATACCATGGACTAGGGCAGCTATTTCTAAAGTAATTTATAATTAAGTCATCTTCAACGGCATAAAGAGTCTGGAGTCAAAGCCAGATGCTCTCCCTATATCATCAGCGTCTCAGCCTTGAATAACTATTCATCCCACAATGGAAATCTCCGGTGGCCAAGATCCGCCCAAAACCCTTCCATCTGAAGAGAAGTTCGACCTTATCATAATCGGAGCTGGAATCTACGGTCTATATGCAGCCAAAACCTTTACCACAATATGTCCCACAATTAATCTCCTCGTGGTCGATTCCGTACGTATAATCATGGTACTGATAACAAGAAAAAAGGAGAATGTCTAGTAGCTTACAACGTCCATTCCACTTCTAGCTTTCTTCAGTTGGCGGTGTATGGTCAAAAGATCGAGTCTATCCGGGATTTCACATTCAGCATGACTCTAAATTCTTCGAATTCCCGGAGCTACTATTCGAAGATGTACCCGATATTGAGATGAAATATAACGCTAGAGGTTATCTAAGCGCTTCTTCTTGGTGTCAGTACTTCCAAGTCTGGGTCGACAAGGTCGGAGTTATGAAGTACGTTCGATTAAATACTACAGTGCAGCAAGTCACTCGGCAAACTGGCGAGGAGTATCTTTGGAAATGTCAGATTCATGACGGTACAAGCCTTCTATCGAGAAAGTTGCTTGTCACAACAGGCATTTCGAGCGTTCCTAGATATCCGGACTTGGATGTTTCGAAGTTCTCAGGGCTGCTCACGCATCATCGGTATTTTCGAGAACGATATGAAGAGTTAGTAGCGGAAAATATTCAAGAGGTGGTTGTTTACGGAGCCTCGAAGAGTAGCATGGACGCTCTGATTCAATTCGCAGAGGCGGGAAAAAAAATCAAGGTACCTTTTCATACACTTCTTTCAGAATAGGTATACAACCATGAGTCTACAGTCTAACTAGCCCTCACTTAAGTGGATCATTCGCAAAGAAGGCCGCGGGCCACCCTGGCTCCTTGACCTAGGGGGTCGGCGCTCCCACACATTCACCATGCGGATACTGGGCGTTCTTTTTCCTTCCGCACATCAAGATGATGGTTTCACTGGCCTCCACCACTTTTTCAAACGAACGTTCCTTGGTAAAGCCTTTCAAAAATATGCGTACGGGGCGTTTGCGAAACTACTACTCAAGGGCTCTGGGTTGGACGGTCCGAACGTGGATGAACGTTTGGCGCCGGTGGTCCCAGATCATTGTCGTTCGCCTATCTGGGTTTATAATACTTCGGGGGTAGATAACTATGATACTTCGCTGTATGATTATCTACGCAGTGGGCAGATTGAGGTGAGAATGCCTGTCCAGAACTTTTTTCTTCCAGTGGATCTCAAAGTCTTTCAGGAGTAGTTGACCTTCTAACTTATGAGAACAGGCGATCAGAGACACAATAACTTCACTCAAGGGAAATGAAATCACACTCGCCTCAGGAGCGACATTGATGGCAGACGCGGTAGTCTTTGCTACTGGATTCGAGCCTCATTATCCATTCTTTTCTGGGGATCTAGCAATGCGTATCGGCCTCCCATCGACTAGTTATACAGAAGAGTACCTCCAAAAATGGACGCAGCTAGAAACCGAAGCCGACAAAACAGTCTACAAGCTAAACCCGATTCTCAGATTAGCACCAATGCCGCCCCTACATTACCTCCTAAACCCGCAGTCCGGGAAGCTTCGATTATACCACTATATAATCCCCACCGATCCAGAGTTTTTGGATGGAAGCCTGGCAATTTTAGGACCGTTTACCGCACCTTCGACGCTTCAGAGTGCGATGGTTACATCACTCTGGGCAGCGGTGTATATGCTTGGGAAGATGGAGTTACCTTCTCAAGATGAGATGGAAAAGACGGCGGCGTATGAGTTAAGGACGCAGCAAATCAAACATCCGGGAATGTTCAATGATTTGCCGTTGCTTTCTTTTGACTTTGTAGCTGTACGTATAGATTTCATACTCTCTAGCTGGATTATATATTCCTCTCAGATACCTATATCCGAAGAACTTGCAATTTTTTAATGTATAAGAGACACACACTAATTTCTAACATAGTACTCGACTATCATGCTAAAGCAGTTGGGATTAAACCCTTGGAGGAAAGGAGGGTGGTTCAACGAGCTGATTGATCCGTATAGTTGTCAAGACTATGGGGACCTAGCTAAGGAATGGGTGGAGAAGAACGGAATTGTGGTAAATTCCGGGTCCGAGGTTGACCCTTCTGCGCCTAGATAAGCGCCAGCAACCAATACAGCATCTAGAAAAATCCAGTACTGGTGACACAAGGATACTTATATATCTAGATATATTATATCGGCAGCATGTTAAATTTCACCTCTTGAGACTAAAGTCAGTTGTTGTCCATGGCCATGCAGGGTCAGTTCTCAATATATTATTATATACTCAGGATTACATAGAAATATTGGGAGAGCGGGAAAAGCCAAGGCTGTGGATTAATTGATCTTTGGATACACTCGCTCGAATGGATAAGTATCATTAAAAATCGCTTCGAGCTCATTCGCCGTCAAGGCAAGGAATTTTGATGCATGTTTCACATGAATATAGCCATAGCATGTCCAGCGTATGACCCTGAGACAATAGCATCCGATATACATGTAAATGCAGCCTTCTCCGGCCCAGCTGAGGGTATTCACTTCGAGGTTACGTTACAAAATTAAAACGGGTATATACTTCCATGGCGCTGGGAGTGGAGGTAGTTTCCTGATGTAATAGTTGTACCCGTGAGGATTGGCAGCATCCTCCAGTTCACGGTTGAATAGTGTAGTTGGTTATCACATCGGATTTTGAAGCGAGTTCCTTGGCTGGAGCTCCTCGAAACTTTCCGATAACTTGGGTTCGAATCCCAGTTCGACCTTTTGCTGGTTGGAATGTTCGTTCATGCACGAGAGCATTTTTTATGTCCCGCACACGCTGCAAGCTGGTCAGACCGGTGCTCCTCGTCTAGAAGACCTTCCATGCAATCCTTTCGTCTCGAATGTATAATGACAGATTTTGTCGAAACAGTAATCCAACTTTGGCGAACCTTGGCCGTGGTTTTTGGGATGGTTGCACGGACGATTCAAAAATTTTAGGTGCGGCTGCAAAACCTTGAAGCAAAAATGCCACCCGATTGGACCGCCGACAAGGCACAGGAAAAGAAGGCTGCATCGAATGCATTTCGTTCTAGAATACGGGCTCGCCATTGGAGTTGCGATACAAGAAGATGAATGCCTTCCGTTTCGACGATATGGGGTGTGTATTTTCCCTGAAGTTTTGTGGATACTCTTGTCGGTGGCCAGTGCTTCGTTTCAATTGCGAGCCAACTACCGGCTACCGTAACGTTTCTCCACCCAGTCAATGCATCGCTGCAGGTGCAGCTGATATCTCGCCAACATCCGCATTGTCGTTAGCTTGGGAGCTACACAAGAGAGCTTGTCAGTAACTAGCCGGGGTAGGTCCAGAGGTACCGACCGGCCTGGCTGGGAATCAGCTTACCCAGCTGTTGCGTGCTTGCTTGCTGACCCTGGCCCGTGTGTAGTATTCACGGTGCATGGCTCCAGCATTGGGATCACCCTCGACTTTTCCCGATCCCGTGTCTTTCTTCAATCCCATCAGCCCAATCCCGACTTGCCCGAAGCAGCTTGTTAATCCACTCATAGCGCTGTTGCATACTTATATCTCGTCACCTGCAGTCGCTTCTTTCAGTGTTCCTTTTGACCCTTCTGTTCACATCTTTCATCGTTCGCTGCCGCAGCAATATTTTATCGTCCCTTTAAATTTTGATCGCAGAAAACCGTTTAAACTCGTTCCCATCGCTAGCTTCGCGAGCTTCGTTCGCTGACAGTTAGTCAAAATGAATTGTAAGTTAGGCTTTTGTTCAATTCCCAATCTCAGCTTCGCTGCTCTATTCTCCCTTGCGCCGCCGTTACGGTGTAGGGATGCAGTGTAGCACAACAATTTTCAGTCGGTTCGCTCCTTCGGGCAGACTCCGGGCAGGCTTGGCTGCCTTCGAAACCTCCAAAGCATGATCCCGAAAACCACTAGGCCCGACATTCCCGATTCAACGAGCTAAATATCCGTTGCTCATGTGCACGATAACGACTTCGATAGCTCCGTTTTCGCTATAATCATAATTGCCTCACCAGACAAAAAAACAGGAGAAAAAAATTAGTTCTTCAAGAAACTGTCGGACAGTTTGCTAATAAAAATGTCATACGAACCTCACCAGGTCCATCTCGTGTCGATGAGACGATTGGCCATGATGAATATAATCAGCAGCCAAACCACCTTCCAGCAGACCTCACGACCAATTCCGATCTCAACAACGTCTCCAACATGAATCGCCGTAATGATGCCAGTCGTGGCGGTATCAATACGTTCAACAACTCTGCTGGAGGCGACGGCGTGGTCGAGTCATCGGACAGCGACACTGTCCAGATTACCACTGTAGGGGGTGGTGGGGAGGGGGGCGTTTCTGGCTCACTTAGAGCTGGAAACGTGGATGAGAAGAGTGGCTTACATGATGTTGTTGAAGTTGTAAGAGATGAGAAGAAGTTGGGAGGTGAGAAGGGCTCTGAAAAACCAAAGAAGAGGGTCTACTTCTTTGCTAGCGCTGGGAGACGTGAGCCTCCAGGTGGTGGAACAGCTCCTGGGGACACTGTTTGGAAGAAAGTACTCTCCATGGTCATCAAATACGCCAAGTTTATGGGACCAGGCTTCATGATCTCTGTGTCTTATATGGACCCTGGAAACTATGCCACTGACGTAGGCTTCACCTCAGAATTCCCCTTTAGTTTATGCTCCTCTGTACTGACTTTGCCAACTAGGTCGCTGCTGGTGCTGCATTCAAATTCTCACATTTGTTTGTTATCCTTCTCGCCAACGTCCTTGCTATTTTCCTCCAGTCACTCTGTGTAAAACTTGGTAGTGTCACCGGAGTCGACTTGGCTGAAAACTGCAAGAGGAACTTTCCACGATGGCTTTGCTGGACCCTTTACTTCTTCGCCGAAGCTGCGATCATTGCGACCGATATGGCGGAGGTCATTGGCTCTGCGATTGCGCTGAACATTCTTCTCAAAGTTCCACTCGTAGCTGGTTGTGCCATCACGATCCTCGACACCTTCATCGTGTTATGGTTTTATAACGCCGATGGACCTGTCAAGAACATTCGTTGGTTCGAATTATTCGTTGCCCTCTTGGTCTTTGGGGTCATCATATGTTTCGCGATCGAGCTAGCAAATATCGAAGACACTCCAGTCGGCGAAGTCTTCAGAGGTTACCTCCCCTCCAAGGCCGTGGCATCAGGAAGCGGTCTATACCTTTCTTGCGGTATCCTCGGCGCTACTGTGATGCCTCATTCGCTCTTTTTAGGCAGCGGTATCGTCCAGGCTCGCATGAAGGAGTACGACAACTGGCACACCAACGAAAGTACTGCTACTGTCGCCACCGATGACACGGCTGTCACTGTTGAGCGCAAATACAAGCCTACCTTAGATGCCATAAACTACACTATGCCCTTTTGCATCGCTGATATGGCAGTCTCACTGTTCACTTGCGCTCTTTTTGCAAACTCCGCCATCCTCATTGTCTCCGCAGCAACCCTCTCCGACACCCCGGAAGCCCAAGATGCCGACTTGTTCAGTATTTACGACCTTTTAGTCGAGAACTTGGGCAAAGCCGCTGGTATCCTATTCGCTGTTGCCCTTCTCTTCTCTGGCGAATCCGCTGGGGTGGTTGTCACGCTTGCTGGTCAAATGATCTCTGAAGGATTCCTGAACTGGAGGATCAAACCATGGCTTCGCCGCCTCATTACTCGCGCCATCGCCATCCTACCGTCCATAGTTGTAGCCGGAGCGGTTGGCCGAAAGGGTTTAGCAGAAGTGTTGAACGCCAGTCAGGTTACCCTCAGCATTATCCTGCCGTTTGTGACTGCGCCGTTGATCTGGTTGACATGCCGGGCAAAGTATATGCAAGTTGAGGACCCTAACGGCGATGTTATCAATGATGAGACAGGAGGCGAAGATGGAGTTGTTAGAAGGCGTACAGTGGATATGAGTAACAACTGGTTCACCTGCGGTTTCGCCGTTGTCGTTTGGGGCTTCCTTGCTGGGTTGAATGTGTAAGTTTCATCTGTCGATGGTGTGCCGTTTTCGCAGTGGAATAAGGCTAACGGAAGCTATAGGTATTTGATCGTGACTTTGGCGATGGGCACTGTCTAATTCAACCTTGTTGGGCCGTGGTCGATCTCTAACGACGTATACAATAACTACAAAAACACATAGCCACTCTTTTCCATTCGGGGGGATGCATTGGTGAGAAATGCATGGTGAATACGAAAAAATTGAAAAAATTTCAGTCTTTGTTGATGATGTGCCTCATAGATGCATCGTTTGCATTGATAGCGTTTGGTTTCATTACGCTCTTTTTACTCGTTGAGGGTCTTGTTCATGGATCTAGACCCTTGACCTTTTAATGTTTGCTTCACAGTCACTCGTTCCGTAAATTAGTATTCAATGGAAGTTTTATCCTTTAAGTTGCAGTTGAGTGTGACATGCGCATGAAGAGGGCGGGGCTAGGTTGCCTCTACTAAAATCGTTGGATTAGGTATTCAGCCTCCAATACAAGTTTATGTAATCCCGAATTTGAATCGACCGCGACAAGGTAACTCAACCTAGCAGCCAGGTATAAGCTTTCAGTTTAATTCTTGGTCCGAATCTGTGCCTCTTGGCCACCTAGCCTCGTACTATAGTTTTGCAACGTAAAGCGCTGACAAGCCAGTTCGCTGAGACCGAGCGCGAGCCGGCGTCATTCACAACTTCAAATGCATAGCATTTTATGATGCCACGTCTGATTGCTGTGCTATGGATTAATATATTGTGGTAGAGGTAGAAAATCACAGTCGTTGGTTCATGTTTTGTGCCTTGTATTGCCACAACAAGTGCAGTTGTTCGCTCTATGTTACTATCCGCGTGGGAGCCTACGAAAGCTGTTTAATTAATGATAACACTGAGGGTGTTTGGTATTCGATACATCGGAAATATAATCTTGCTGTTGTTTCGGGAACTTCTAGAAGTTAGAAACCGTTAGTTGGTATACGTAGCATTTAATTGGTCATAGAAATTAAACTCAAGCATTAGTTGCTCGGAACTGCGATGTTTCGATATTCTGACTGGGTTCACCGAACAAACATTCAAATTTCGATATTTCCGAATTACAGACTGGCAAATACGAATAGGGAAATCCTTCAATCAACTTTCGGCCGATTCAATCGGTATTCGAGTCTAAGTTAACATGGTTAGTACTCGATCAGATTAAAAGTTTCCGTTGATTCGTCGGGATATTTGGGCATTCATTCAGATTCGCAAAACGAAACATACAACCTACCACGATTAGTCTCCTCAAGATCACGGGCAAATGGTGCCAATTCATCGAACTCATCTCTCGCAACCGCCCAAGAGGCGCCCAGGTATCTCTTTTCAGCAACGTCGTACAGGCCAAAAATAGCCTGCCCCACTCTGCGCTTCAATTGGTGGGCCGGCCCTGGCTGCCAAGCACATCTCATTAATTTGGACGGCGGCAAGCGCCAGGGACTGGACAACAACACGTCCTTCGAAATGGCTTCGTGCTCAAGTTTTCAGCAGTGCTGTCCAACAGGAAAACATTCCAACGCCCGTTTCTGACGGGAAGGGTTCCATATGCATGGCTACCCGTCAACGGGGACCCGGAACTGTTGGGATTTTTTGTTGTTCATCGGAAAGTTGGGTGTTTTCGCCCAGATCTGGCGTTGGCGGTGTGAATATCTGCCGCATGGTGGAGGGTCCGTGGTCGCTATGCAAGAGGTGAGGCGTAGAGTGCATGATGGCGGGTATAGGCCTT